AACTTGGCCAGTTATTTAATCAAACACTATTGAAGTTGAGAAATGTAGGCAGTCCCTTCCTAATGCAATAGCTAGTCTTACAGGACATTTTCATACTGCAGATTTCTGGTTTTGGCTATTGAAAGCCAAATATCACCCTGTTCTTTTCCTCTGAGTTCCTCCTGTAACATTTAATCTGTAAGCACCCCTCCCCCCCCCCACATACACCATATATGCACCTTTTTCTTGTCCACTTGAACTCCCCGGAGTGTTGGTTATGTTTCCAGAAACAAGGCTGAAGAACAGAACGTGTTAATAGTATCTGAAATATGAGCCCCATTATACTAAGATTTATTGAGGATTCCCTAAGTGCACTATCCTAGGTGCTATATCTGGATTATTTTATTTAATGCTCAAAACAGTCCTATGACACAAGAATTGATTTTCCCTATCCTGGTTATAGCTAAGAAAAATAAAGCCTAGAAGGGTTTAATAATTTTCCCAACATTACAAAGTGGCAGATTTAGATGTAAACCCGGCCTCATCACTCTATCAAGCATGTCAAACTTGAGGCCCATGGGCCGCACGCGACCCACAACAAATACTATTAACGATTACTCATTTATTTCAGCCCTTTGTATTCAGCATGTCTCTATCGAAATACACCTATGTTTCTATGAAAATTGAAGCTTTTGTGTGTTTCTTTGCAGCCCACATAAACTTAAACCTTGTTTATTTGGCCCATGCTAGCCTTTGAGCTTGACATGCTTGCTCTCCTACACTACCCACTGCAGTCTGCCTGAAAGCGGGTGATAAACTGTGAAGCCATATTTAATACAAGATCATCTATAGTCAGTCCTTGCTATCTGTGGATTCTGTATTTGTGAATTTTCATAATCATTAAAATTTATTTGTAACCCCCAAATCAATAGTCATTCATGTGCAGTGGTGAAAATTTTGAGTTGTCCAATGTGCACATTCCGAGCTGAGGTTAAACAAGCAGCATGCTGCCTCCAGGTTTCAGCTCTCATGCTGTAAATTAGTGTCCTTTCTTCTGTCTATTTAGTGCCACATTTTTTTTTCATTTTTGTGCTGTTTATTGATGATTTTGCTACTTAAAATGGCCCCCATGCATCGTGCTAAAGAGCCGCCTGTGGTTCCTAAGAGCAGGAAGGCTGGGATGTGCCTTACACATGTTAAATAAGCTTCATTCAGACATGAGCTACAGTGCGGCTGCCTTGAGTTGAATGTTAAAGAATCAACAAAATATATTGAATAAGATGTCTTCAAACAGAAATACACCCAAAACAAGGTTGGGGGTGATGAAAAGTGACCAGAGGGTCGCAGATTCCTAGCCCTGTGTTTCCCCTCAGAGCAAAGATTCAGCTTTGTCAGTGTTTGGCAGTGACTTTATAGAATATTACTACCCTGAATAACAAGAATAGACTGTATTTATATCTCTACTATCTTGCTTTCCATAATTACTTATATCATTAAATAGCCAAGCATTTAAAATTGTACTTATTGATGGGCATACATTCTCAATGGGTCAATATTACTCTCAAAGGGACACAAATTGGGGGCGAAAACTCTTAAGCATTTTATGTAAAAGCAGAGATATACACACAGCACATAATATATACACACTATATCTGTGGTATTACAGTTTTATTTGTGGGAGTAACTGCAGAAAAAGTCTAAAAGTGTCCTTGGGGAGAGGGCAATAATAAAATATGATTGGAAAACACAGTCGTAGAGCATACCTAAGGTATTTACTGGAGTCCACAGCACAGCGTGCACACTCTATGTTAGGTGCACACTCTATGTTAGCTATTATTATACATATCACTGGTAATATTATTTGTTTCCCTAATCTTCTTCCCTGTCTTCAGTCACCAGCATTTCTTAAACTGGAGATTGTGGTCCTCTGAGGGGTCTGCATACACGTTTTCAGACCTGTCTGAGAATTTCCTCTGAAATTTGTTGTTTTATTTTGTACTTTCCTTTGATGATAATCTTAAAAATCATCAATAACTGTGTACTGGTTCCCCTTTATCACAGACTCCTGCCATATGGTTTTGTTGTCCAAGTTGGTGCCTGTCTTTTAAGGAAGGAGTCCTGCTTCTGTGGTTATGGGCCAATAAGGAGTGAAAGAAGAGCAGACAATGAAACATGAGCGACAGGGTCAGACCAAGTGAAGGTCAACTGAGGTGGCATCGTGCTGCAGCAGGAAGGACTCTCCGAGTTCTAGCGGAGAGGCTGAGTCCTCACGCGGCCCGAGGTAGCAAGGATACGCCAGAAGCAAGAGAACATTGGCTTTAGCAGCGGTACAACATTTATGTTTTGAAAGGCAATTTAATGTCGGCAAAATAACATCATCTGCCACATTAAATTAATGGTGTTAATTGGAATTTTATGGGCTTTATTGTTTTTGTGTTTAATTGGTTACTTTGTTTTTGTCTTTTTGTTGATTCAGAGCAAACACATATGGAGTTTAGTTTTCCATTCGTGCATCGCTAAGTAACAATATACTAAAAATAATTTAAGTCTGTGTATCCGTGGTACCCAATAATGCTCTTTTACTGAAAAGGAATGTTTGCAGGTTTGAAGAGTTCTGTAATGGACTCATAGGATCATAAACTATTTGAACTGCTAGAAATCACTTGGTCCAGCCATCTCCCCCACCAGATGTGGACACTGAGCCTCATGGAGGGGAAGCGAATGTCCAAGGTCAAAAAGCAAGGGGGCATCAGACTGAGGTCAGAGGTCAGTTTGACATATTTCTAACTAGGTATTGAGCCCAACATGTCAGTCCCTTCCAAAGATGAACCATGGCAGATGAGTGGCGACTGCAAAGGCAGGCTAGACATAAACTAATGGATCGTTAATGCCCTGTGGCTCACTCTGAGGGAGGAGGGTGTGGAATGGGCAGGGATGATAGGAATAACAGACTTGTTATAACAGAGTCATCAATCACATTGAGCTTCCCAAGTGATATCAGCCATGAACTTGGATTGTTCCATTACTCTCAGCATTAGCAAACAAATCCCTGAAGCTCTTTAAATTGCCCACTTGTGCTTTTCAGCTCTGTTTTTAGCCTGTAAGCTTATGCCACCTAACTGGGGTGTATACCACTGTGTAGGGAAGACTCTTGGAAGCCAGTGTTTCTCAGCTGCTTGTAAGAGTTTTAATCATAACTTGCGTAGTGAAAAGAGTTCATTGTGATATAACTGGCTGGTCATTATATTAGTTTTCCATTGCCACATGACAGCTCACCATCAATTTAGCAGCAGCTTAACATGAGATACATTCATTATCTCATTTTCCTTGGGTCAGAAAGCTGGACTTTTGGTCAGGGTCTTACAAAGCTGCAGTCAAGATGCTGGCCAGGCTAGGCTTTCATTGGGGGCTCAAATCCTCTTCCGTGCACACGTGGGTGTTGGCAGAATTCATTACTTTGCAGCTGTAGGACTCAACGACGACTTGCTTCTTCAAGACCAGTGGGATGTCTCTCCTTCAGACTCCTGTAAAGGGCTTATCTGTTCCGGTCAGGCCTACCCAGAATAATTCCCTTTTGACTAAATTCAACTCATTAGGGAATTTAATGGCATCTGCAAGTTCCAATCTGCAGTGGAATTTAAGTGTCTCAATTCTAATCCTCTTACCATCATCATATTCCATGGCTTAGTGGCAGGTTGCAGGTTCTGCCCATACTCAAGGGGAACAGATTACCAAGGGCAGGGGTACTGACTTCAGCCGTTCTGGCCGTTACAACAAAATACCATATGAACTATCTATAGTGGTTTATGACAATAGAAATTTGAGTCTCACGTTTCTGGAGGCTGAAAAGTTTGAGATCAAGGTGACTGGTGAGAGCCCGCTTCCTGGTTCATAGACTGCCATCTTTCCCTGTTTCCTCACATGGGCAGGGAGCTCTTTGGGGTCTCTTCTACAAATTCCATTCATGAGGATGCCATACCCATGACTTAATCACCTCCCAAAGGCTGATCACCTCCTAATACCATCACGTTAGTGATTAGGTTTTAAAATATGAAATTTGGAGAGACACAAACATTTAGTCTGTAGCAGGTACCATGGGCATCATCTTGGAATTCCGCTCACCGTGGTCATTGGCACTTCCATCACTAGGCAGGGAGTATGGTTCGTATTTGTAGACTTTCATGTGATTTTAGAGAATATTTGGTAATAATTTTATATATGCTCATATTAAAAGTCAGAAGAGTACAAACTGAGCTATAAGCTGAGGTAAGAATATTTGGATCAGGGGTTCTCCACTTCAGCACGATTGATGTTTTGGGCTGGATAATTCTTTGTTGTGAGGGGACTGTTCTGTGCATGGTAAGACGTTTAGGCAGCATCTCTGGCTCCTTACCCACAAGTGCTAGGAGCATACCCTCCCCGGTTGTGACAACTAAAAATGATCCCAGACATTGCCAGATGTCCCATTGCATGGGGAAGCACCTCTGGTTAAGATTGACTGCATTAGAAAAATGACACAGTCTTTTCTTCTTTTTTTAAAAGAAGAACTTATTAAAAGAGGGAATTTTTTTTTAAGGTGATAGAGCTTTTTGGAGCAAGTAGGCTCTTGCTCCTCAGATAATGCCTCATTCTTAGATTTGCATTTGTCCTTTATTGGAAAATGTAGTTTATAGCTGCAAATAAAAAAATCAATACTGTGGATGTGTTTCACACATGTACTTTCTTAGTCACATGTAGGCCAAAATTATATTACGTTATCATATTTGACTATGTTTTATAATCTTGTCTGAGTTTATAGTCAAGCAAGATTATAATAAGACATTAGTTCTACTCTGACATGGGTCAGGCATTTCCCAAAAGATATTTAATGCATAAGGCAAGAAACCTAATAAACGCCTTTCTTGGTATTATTGGCCCTTTCTTGGAAACAAGCGATGTGGCTTGGTATGGGACAGAGTGAACGGCACGGTCGAGTTCTGAAATTACAAAACTCAAAAGCGGCTCATTTCTGTTTTCTCTAGGCAAAGGCAGCTCAAGCATCTCATCCGACGTGAGTTCAAGTACAGATCACACACCAACCCAAGCCCAGAAGAATGTGGCTACCAGTGAAGGTAGGCATCTGGTCTTCATTATCTGTTGCCCTCTCTTCACAGTGCTGGCTATTTTTGGAAGGCAAATAAAATGTGTGAGTCTGAGTTCTGTTCTACCAAGTGGGAACATATGAAAGTCTTAAAAATGAGAAGGCAAAGGTTTTCCCAAGTTTCTTTTTTGTTGTGCTGCTGTCATTGTCCCTTAAAGTTGTTGCAATGGAATTTAAGTGTCTCAATTCTAAGGCAAATGCTGTTATTTTGTGAAAATATAGTAGGCTGACTTTGGAGAAGCCTTTATGATACTATATATATCATTTTTCAGTATAGAAAATGTTCTGATTGTAAAATCCTTATGCTGAAGTTGAAAGTTGTTCAAGAACTTTCAGAATAGGCATACCTGCATTCAGGATTGTGACAATGGGAAGGTCATAGTCATGTGATTTGTAGACCTCGAACTAATCACCAATACCTGATAGTAGGAGAAGAGGTTTGTTTGACTATTTAGAGAGCAATTGAAAAGTCCTGCCTATCAGGACAGAGATTGGTCACATTGATATTCTTGATGAAGAATTTGATGAGTTACAATACATGTTGGAATTCAGCTGCTTCCCAATAAATAGTTGAGAAGCTTTTGAGTTATTGCTTACTTGTTTGAGTGTGGAAATAATTGTTTCTGTGGTAGTTATTTAGAGGGAAGTTGACCCTATTATGGAATCAGCTCCTTTTATTTTAATGTTAAACACAATTAAATGACCTGTTTTCTGAAGAGTACTTTCTAAAGTAATTGTCGAATGAAGATCTAGTGTTAATATATCGATGCCGTTTATAGTGAAAGACTCTTTGGAAGGTGTCACCTGATTTTCACGACACTGTAAAGCCCGCTTTCCTCAAGAAGACAGTGTGTTATGGAAACAGTCTCCTGTCTTTGTTTCTGCTGCTTGTGATGTGGGGGAGCATACTCATGGCCTGATGTTGGTCCTCTCAGCTGTGTGACTGCTCTTGATCTGTGCTACAGTTCATGCATTCATGATGATGCCTTCCCTCTGCTATGTTTATCTTCTCTTTGGGTGTTCTTTGACTTGGTGTGTTTCAAGTAGCACAGAATTACCTTCTGTGGGTTAATTATCCCCAGACTGATGCATAAGTAGCTTTTATAACTGGATTATAGTCCCTTGTGTTTAATGCCTTAACATTGTTTTACCCATGTAGTAAGGCAAACAGATTGGGGCGTTTTTCTCTGTGCAGTGAAGTATCAGGTACCAATCCAATTTTAATTTTCTGCCTGTTAATTCAAATATGGGCATTAGATCATTCTTGAAATTCGGTTAAGGTAATGTGCGAATCGGGTAAATTGATTCTAGACATTCACTTTTGAGGCTTTCGTTCTTTGAAGCCAAAATGGAAATCACGTCAATGTAATTTATTTTTTATCCTTTGTAGTCAGAAATCTATGTTTTGTAATATTATCACTTTTTCCACCATTATTTTACAATCATTTTTGTCACAGTCCTTTGTCTAATTTGAGTGGCTGTGAAAATAGAAAGTTAAAAGTATGTTAAATAGTCCCTCTGTGTTTCCCTATCTGGATTTAAGTTCTGTTAGTATTTTTTCTGCTTTTCATAAATAGAAAGTATAAAAATATGTGAGCTCTGTTGCAAGGGTTGGGGGAAGGGACTGTGGCACTGCATGTATTTAAAAAGTCTGCTTTTTATGCTTAAAATTACTCTCTAGTGATTTACAATTTGTATTTTATTTTGCCTTTTCCTTTGGTGCAGGCCTAGCCAATATTTTGTACATTTTTATCAGAATGCATTCTCTATCATGCTGTGGGTAAAATCAGGAAAGAAAAATGGGAAAATGTGATGTTCATATGAAACAAAATTTTTAGCTGCTGGGCTAAATTAGTATGGAATTTTTTTATCCAACTCTTAAGTGGAAGAACCCCATTCTTGTGAAAGCCGTTCATTAATATATTGCATATCTGAAAAATTATAAAAGAAAGTATTGTTTTTCTATTTGTTTGCATGAATCCTTTTATCTGATGTTTTTAATGAAAATTTAAAAGTGTTAAACAATAAATTAGGCATGGGTATTAGTTACATTAAAATGTATTTCAGAGATGTTTGCTGCATAATTGGACTCATTGTCAGCCTGGTATTTCAAGATGGACGTGCAATAGCCAAGGCTAACTTTCTCAGTGCAGAGATGACAGAGTCCTGGGGCCGGAGCAATTATCACACCCTCCAACCTCCACAGAGCAAATTTGCCTGCAAATTTGTTTCCTCCTCCCAGAAAACACCTGCACACAACATTCTGGCAAAGAAACAGAAAGTGTACTCTGATTTCTTAGACATGCCTCAGAGGAGCAAACTTAAAAATGCTTCTCTGATTCTCTCCCCACTGTTTTCTAGAACTACGCTTAAACTTTGATAGGAAGAAAATATTGAGTGAGTGGTATACTTCCGGAAGCTATTTGATAATGGTTATTTCCTTCAGTTCCTCGATCCTCTTATGATATTTCACCCCTGAATTCATTAGTATTGTCTTCAGGAAGCACAGGCTGGATCCTCAGTTTTAAGGTCTGAGTGATACTGATTTCTAAGAATAATATCTATTGTGAAGGATAATACTCAATTTTCTTTCAGCCTTTGAAAACTGGCCATACCTTTAATAGCTGAGTTGGAAGCATTGTGCAGCAGTGTGGGACTTCTCCCTGATTGGCTGGATGGGGAATGTGGTTGTTGTTGGTAGTGGTGGTGGTGGTGGGGTGTGTGTGCGCGCGCGTGCGTGCATTTGTGTCCAAACTCCACAAGATAGCTAATGTCACAGGCATTGTCTCTTACTAGAAAACGTGCAGGTAACCACTCTGCAATATATGATGGCAGATAAACTGAGGATGTGGGAGTTGAGGGAAGGGAGGGGCACTCTCATAGCCTTCACTTACTCTAGGGCTAGTGATAGGAACAAAGATTAACTGTAAACAAACATGAGGGATCTTACTGGGGAGATGACAATGTTCTAAAATTAGATTGTGATGATGTAACTGAAATGCAGATTCGGATGCCTGCCCCAATGAAAGCCAAACTCATGATACAGGTTCTGGTGCAAAAGAAAAGAGGTTTATTCAGGTGCTACGACCTGGGATAATGGTGGACTCTTGTCTCAAAGACTATTCCCCCTTCCTGCTCAAGCCCACAATTTTTATAGGGAGAGGGAAGGGAGGACTTTATATATATATATATATATATATATATATATATATATATATATATATATATCCTATTATCTTGCTAGCTTTGGCTGCTCTGACCCTGTCCATTCATCTTTCTAACTTTTGGCATTCTTGGTCCCTATCCATTCATCTTTCTAGCTGTTGGCATACCTGAGCCCTAACCATTCATCTTTCTAGCTTTTGGCTAGAAAGAATACAGCACGTTGTGGAAGCATGTCTCCAGTCTTTGTTTTGGAGACAGGTTCTCAGTGTAAGAACCTCCCCCTGCACTATCTTGGCCAATGGGGGAGACTCCCTGGTGCTCCCTGACTGTACAGTATCAGGGTCAGTGAGGAAGAGGTGACTGCAGGAAGTCTAGAGATGCTGCAGTCCTTGGCCCACCTCCTGAGGCTAGATACAGTACTCCGGGGAAGCTGTTGGAATCTGCAGGGAACCCCTGCTTCCCGACACACCTGCATCCTCTGCGTAGGCCCCGTGCAGCCTGCCCAAAGTGGCCAACCAGGGCTGTGCTCACCCTGCCGTCAGCTACCCACACTCCAACTGTAAGGTAACAGTGATAGTTGCTCAACTCAGTGAATTTACTAGAAATCATTGGATTGTGTATATGAAAAAGGGTCTTGGGGGTGCTGCTATTTCTCAGGACCTTCAGACTTGTATCTAAAACATCGCAAACTATCCTTTGCAAATGCTCTTTCCCAACTCTGGGAGGAGGTCGTGAGCAATGGCCAGAAGACCTGTTAAGTGGATCAGTATAAAGTGCAGGGCTGCCATCTAAATGCTTCTCTGAGATGCTCTGACCTTGGGGCCAGAAGTAGCATGAGAGCCATCATAACGAGTCTCTGGATTAGTGTTTATAGGTTTGCACATGGTACCTAGTCAGAGGTTGATTCACCACAGTACATATTCTCCAATGAAACTCTGAAGACACGAGAAATTATAGACCCACAGGTTTTATAAGCTTCTTTTGTTTCTTTAGCCTTTTCTAGACAGCATCTAACCTCAGCTCAGACTTTAAGTATTCTAGCATCCAACTCTAATTGTTGAGGCATCCTATTTATTCACTCTGTGTCTTTACTAAAGGACCTGTGCCCCTGCTGTCTATCTAATGTTCCCACTAATCCAGTTGGAGTCATAAGGCTGTGGTTCCCTTGGCATGGTGGGCACAGATGGTGGTACAATTTGGTTTTGATCCAAAAAAGAATGGTATATTGGACCTGATAGTAGTGTTCTTGTCCTAAGTCTCAAGCAAACGTTTTGTGAATTTTAATTTTGTGACTCTAAAGCCACACCCCTTTTAAGAAATTGGCAGCCTGCAGTGCTTTCTCTCTGATAAGTGGTACAGGCTTTCTTTAATGCCCATTGTATTTCTTGTAACAGTTTACTAGTAAGTTCCTGATAACCTAACACTGTAGGGGGTTTGGGTTCAAGTGCAGAAAGCTGGAAAATTTCCATTTTTCCAAACAAAATCTGCATTCCAACATAGTAAGCCACAGCATAATTCTTTCCAGTTGTGTTGTATTCTTTTCCTTCCACTTGTTTTCAGTCATCTTCATCCACACAGAGTTCTCTCTTTTACTGGAAAGAATAGGCTTTGACCTTTAGCTATGAAAGTCATATCAAACCCATGGTTGGAAGAAAGCACATAGCAACCAGCCTTGAGTCAGAGCAGTTGTGTTGGGTTAGATCAGGGTTGGGGAACGTCTCGAGAAATAATTTGGTCTGGCCCTGCCAAGGCATTAGAGGTGAGTTAATTAAATGTTTGATCAAATATAGTAGGCTAATTTTTAAG